AAAAAAAAAAAAAAAACACTAGCTAATAAGAGACAAGTCATTCAGCTCATTTGATTCAAAATCTTGCCCGTTTTTTTGAGGTCATCCAGCAAAAGAGATTCTGCATCTTGCATGCTTAATTAATTTATCTGACAGAGGTTAGATTAGGTGTCTCTGAAGCATCTGCTTATACTTATATTACCACAAGACGCTCTCAGCACTGACTAAAAAAAGCCTGCTTTCTCAAAGTTTCCGTTTAGTCACTCAGCATTAGATTCATTCATTTTAGAAGTCTTTGCTTTAGAAGCCACTTTGACAGTTTTGTCCATTTCACCAGGTACCCAAGGAATGTCATTTATTGGGTTTAATTCAGTGGTATTGATTGAGCACCCACTGTGTACCCAGAGAGGTGCTGGGAGCCAAAAGAGATAAGTTACAACCCTGTCGTTGAAGAGGCATATTAGTTAGGTTTCTGCTGTGACAATATTGCATATTACACAATCCCAACATCTCCTTGGCTTACAATCATAAACATTTATTTCACACTCACAGGTCTGCAGGTTGGCTGTGGCTTAGCTGCTGGACTAGGCTGGACTCCAGGCTTCAAGTCAGGTTCCATCCTGCTCTGTATGTCATTATTTCCAAATCTAGGCTCAGGGAGCAACAGTCATTTGGGTTGTGCTCTTATTATGGTAGAAGGTGGAAGTGTAAAAGAGTTGGTGAAAACTTATCATACGTCTTAAAATCTCAGCTCAACAATGGCACAGTGCAATGTCCTCCATCTGCATTGCCAGAGCAAAGCCCAAAGTCCATGGGGTTGGTCAGTATACTCTGCCTTCCTAGTGGGAGGTCCTGCAAAGTCATATGGCAAAGGGCAAGGACCTATAAGCCTATTAGAGGGAGGCAGTGCATAGTTGGGAAGAATAATTCAGACTATCACTAGAGAGTATTATAAACTCCCCTCAGGGCCCAGACAGACCTGGCTTTGGATCTAAGCACTGCCATTTATTAGTTGCCTGAAATTCTTGCTTACCCAAATCCTAGCTGTTGTCTGTGACCCAATACAATTCCTTCTGTTTATTTCTTCAGTTACTCTACTACTTACTCATTCATTAAATGTTTATTTAAGGCCTCCAATGTGCTAGAGACTGGAGAATAAGACAGATGAAGTTTGCTCTCCCCCACGTGGAGCTTATAGTCTAGTGGGGGACATGGTCAATAACAACCAATTTCATAAACAATTATAATTGTAATAAACGCATGAAGCAGGGGCTCCGTTGCCATAAGAATGTTTAACAGGTAGGCCTGACCTAGACTAGACTTCGTTGAGGAAGTTAGTGGGAGTTAGCTAGACTAAGAGTGGCAGAGCTGTCTGTGCAAATGCCTGAGGTAGGAAGCAGCGTGGTGCGTCTGTGGATCCTGCTGGGCCTTCGAGATCAAGTTCAACTTGTCTTGATACCAGCAGCCCACCAGGATAGAGCTTCTTCCTCAGCACTTACATCATGTTATTCTGTTTTCCATATCAGAGTATTCAGTCCTTGAGGCCAGGAGTCAGGTCTCTTATACTTTTATCCTTCGTGCATTATAAATAATAATAGATAATGTACAGAACCCTTTAAAGTGTGAGTGTAATTCATCAACTTCATGAAAAGTACTTGTGAAACTGTTTCACTTACAGGTTAGCCAGGCTAATGGGATTTTCTTTGTATGATCAGTTTGGTTTAGTTTTTTTATTCAACAGATATTTATTCATCATCTTCCTTACAGCAGGCCAGAGACAAAAGGCTAGTCCTAATTGAATAAGACGTTGAGAAGAACGGCTCTGCTACAAATACCATGTGTAATCTTGGGGTTGAATTAATTGAATAGGGAAAAAACTGACCTTTAACAAATCAAATAACTATATGAGGTTACTATTTTTTTTTTAAGTTGAGGCAATAAAATGTAAGATTATGGAGCCATACTAGAGGTTTTAAAACCCAACTTGGGACATCTGCTTCCAACCCTGATGAGTAACTGATATTGGACTAGGTCTCCTACCATAAACAATTATACACCTGGGTAAAATATATAAAATGACTCTCTTCAGACAATGAACAATAGGCAGTGAAAGACTGTGGTCTCAGACAGAAGGGAAAGAAAGAATGTTTGTCCCAACTCATTGCATGGAGGCACTTTTTGGTCTCTGCCAGAGCCCCTGTGGAGCCTAAGGAGATATTCGTGGTCTTGATGAACTGGGGAAGCTAAGATCAGAATTCAGAGCAGCTGAAATGGCTGGAATTTGCAGGACACAGTATCAGACATACAGGAGCTATGCAGAGAAGAAGTTCCAGAAAACTGTCTAGGCAGCACCTTGAGTCTTTGACTGAATATCAAGCTGCGCATGCTTAGGGCATGAGTCTGTAAGGCTGGGCAAAAAGCACCACCATTCTGTTATGAGCAGAATGGGGATTCCAGAGCTCCCACAAGGCTGGGAGACATTGGAATCCCTCCCATCCAGAATGGAGAGACCTCACTGAACACTCTGAGCCCTTAGGTGATACCCCAGTAAGGCCACAGAACTCAATATTAAAGCTAAAACTACAAAGCTTCCAGGAAAAAGCAGCTTAGTGATCTTGTGATAAACAAAGATTTCTTAGAACCCAGGAAATACTGACCGTAAGTGAAAAAATGGGTAACTTGGACTTCATCAAAATCTAAAACTTCTGCTTCTCAAAAGACACCATTAAGAGAATGAAAATGCTGGCCCAAACCGAGAAAATACTCACAGTATGTATATTTGGGAAACAGCTTTTACCCAGAATACACCAACAACTCCTACTATTCAATAATAAGAAGACAGATAAACCATATTTTTTTAAGAGACCAAGACATGTGTACAGGCACTTATTTCATAGTGAAGATCTATGAATGGGGGCCGGCCCCGTGGCTTAGTGGTTAAGTGCGCGCGCTCCACTACTGGCAGCCTGGGTTTGGATCCCAGGTGCGCGCCGACGCACCGCTTGTCCGGCCATGCTGAGGCCGCATCCCACATACAGCAACTAGAAAGGATGTGCAACTATGACATACAACTATCTACTGGGGCGTTGGGGAGAAAAAGAGGAAAAAAAAAAAAAATCTATGAATGGCCAGTGAACACGTGGACATGCTCAACATTAGTAGTCATCAGGGAAATATGAATTAAAACCATAAAGATACATTACTACACACTCACTAAAATGGCTAAAATTTAAAAAAACTGACATTGCTAAATGTCATCAGGTTGTGGAGCATCCGGGACTCTCATACTTTGCTGGTAAAACAGCCACTTTGGAAGTCAGTCTGGCAGCTTCTCATGAAACTAAACACCTACCTAATGACCCAGAAATTCCACTCTTAGATATTTACCTAGGATAAATGAAAACATACATACACTGAAAGACTTATACAAGAATGTCCATAGCAGCTTTATTCGTAATAGCCAAAATTTACAAATAACCCGAAAGGCCACCGACAAGAGAATGAATAAACAAATTGAGGTATATTCACACAACAAAAAGGAACACACTATTGATACTTAACAATATGAATGAACCTCAAAAGCATTTTGCTGAGCGAAGGAAGCCAAACACAAACAAGTATATACTGTAGGATACCATTTGTATGTGATTCTAGAATAGGCAATAGGGTTTATTTATTTATTTATTTTTTTTTTTAATTTTTTGTTTATTGCAGTAACATTGGTTTATAACATTGTAAAATTTTCAGGTGTACATCATTGTACTTCTGTTTCTGCATGGACTACATCATGTTCACCACCAAAATACTAATTACAACCCATCACCACACACATGTACTGAATTATCCCTTTCACCCTCCTCCTTCCCCCCTTCCCCTCTGGTAACCACCAATCCAATCTCTGTCCCTATGTGTTTGTTTATTGTTGTTATTATCTACTACTTAATGAAGGAAATCATACGGTATTTGACCTTCTCCCTCTGACTTATTTCACTTTGCATTATACCCTCAATGTCCATCCATGTTGTCACAAATGCCTGGACTTCATCGTTTCTTATGGCTGAGTAGTATTCCATTGTGTATATATACCACATCTTCTTTAGCAATAGAGTTTAAAAAGTCGGAACAGTGGTTGTCTAGTGTTGTCAAGTGTTATCTAGTGTTATCAAGAGGTTGTCTAGTGTCTGTCTCTTGATAAGTCTATGCCATGGATAATCTGTGGTTTGTAAGAACACTTTGAACTGTGCACTTGAGATCTGTGTATTTCACTTTCTATAAATTATACCTCACTCCGGCTACGCATTTGAATCATCTGGGGAGTTTTAGAAAATATTGGTGGCTGCGCCCATTCTCAGAGATCCCAATTTAAATGGTCTGGGGAAAAGCCTGGACATTAGGAATTTTTTAAACTCTCTATCTAGGTGGTTCTAATGTGCAGCCAAGGTTGAAAACTACTGTGTTGAAACTTGCTGTATTCCAGCCTCAGATCTGTGGACCTAAATGGTGGGCTAAGAGCCCGTCCATGTAGGCCTACTGGCTGGAACTGTAGCAAGCAGAGTCATTCAGCTTCGCACAGTGGATGTGGGTGAGGGGCTATATTATTCAAAAGGTCAGAATTAGTATTGAGTAATTACGCTTTAAGCTTGGTGTCTTTCAAATACCTAAATAATACCTTTTTGGATCAAGCTACCACCATTTAAAATGCTTTGTAATTTGTAATAAGACAGTAAGGTATTATTATTACTGTGGTTGTTGCTTTGCTCATTGTTTATTACAGTCTTTGGTACATGGTAGCTGTACAATATTTCATGAATGAATGAGTGAATGAGGTCCTGATAGTTGTCTCTGAGGTGTTCTCATTGTTAAAATGGACTTGTTTTGAAGCTTTCTTCTTTCTGAAGTCCTTTCTGCCTGGCGTCTTTTCCTGCTTTGCTTGCCACTTTTTTTTTCGTTTCTTTTAAAAATTGTTGCTATTGTTACTATTGTCCCTTTCTTGAATTCCAGAAATTAGGTTTAAAATTTAAGATAAGGAGAAAGTAGCTACAATCTACAAAATAGATTTTCTTTTATAAAAGGACCTACTTACCCTGCCCCCTGAGGTATTTTTCCAGTAGGTGAGGAGTTTTGGCAAATGAGTGAAAAAACTGTTGTTTTCACACACTTCCCTGTGGCCAGTGCTGTGCAGGGGATGAAGGGTGCAGTTTGTGATTCTAAAACACTTTTTTTTTTTAGGGAAAGGTAATGTCCCTGGCTTTGTTGGCACCCATATGTGACTCACTGTTAATCTGCCAAGACGCTGTGGGGCTAGCAGGGGGCAAACGGTAAATTACAGAGGTGTTCTACAGCTCCTGAGGAAAATGCTGAGTCCCCACACTTGAAATGAGGACCAGGTCACCGGGCAACTTCTGCTTTGGACAGGGGATGCAGCTTCACTTCAGTAACATATTCTGCCGCCCCCTGCAACCTCCCCCAAACAAATATCTACACAGTCCGAAGTAGATTTTCTGGCCAAAAGTTAGCAAGTAGAGTTTTTTGGTTTTGAGGGTTTTTTTTTTAATGCATATAACCCTAAGAAGATTAAGACAAGACTATCAGTCATTCTAATCTTATGTGACTGCATTAAATCAAATGATTTTTATTATAACATCCCATTTGGAGGTGTTGTACACTAAGGAAGTGGAGGGGAGAGCAGTTTGGGAATGACTAGGGAGAGGCAGCTTGGCTGGACAGAGGGGACCTGGACAGACAGAAGGCACTTTGATGAAGTTTCTTGGCCTCGTATTGTAGGAAAGAGCCAAAGATACACAGTTTTCTCCAGTGTTCTACTTACCTCAGATGGGAAGTGCTCCCACGTGGTCCTCCCATGTTGGAACTACGATCCGTATGTCTCTGCTTGCTTCTTTATCCAGGCTCAGGGACCCTGGGGTGACAGGACCAGGTGGTCTAGGATGCCAGATGAAGAAGGTAGAGGGCACAAAGGGCAAAAGGAAAAAGTAGTGTAATCACTCTTGGGGAAATTTCTGGTTATAAGTGCCCATGCGTGCATACTTGTAGCGATGGGGAGACAGGGACTCTGAGATGTCGCCTCCACCTTGGCTTCAGACATCCATGTGTCTGGATGTTTCCCTAGAATGCCAGAGGGTTCAACATGAGCATCCCCATGCCTGGACACCCAGTGAACTTCTCTAGTGTCACCCTGGAGCAAGCCCGCAGGGATGTGGAGCAGCTGGAGCAGCTCATCGAAAGCCATGACGTCATTTTTCTGTTGATGGACACCAGGGAGAGCCGCTGGCTGCCTGCTGTCATTGCTGCAAGCAAGAGAAAGGTAGAGTGTGTGGCTCCTGGGGCTCTTGTCTCTGGTTGTGACTTAATGCACTGTCACCCTAGGGGGAGAACTGTCCCCAGTCTGCCCTTTTTCCAGAAAAGAGCTGTGCTTTGTGTCACCTAGTCACACAGTGCCAAAGGACTTGCACTGCAGAGTCTATCTTTGCCTCACACACCATCATCCAATATAATAGGATGTCCTTTACTGTTCAATTTTCATAACAACCCTTTAAGGTACTCTACACTAGAAGGGGTCCTCTACTTACATTAAAATGTAAGCTCCAGGAGGACAAAGACTTTGTCTCATTCACTACTCTTTGGTTAGTGACAGCTTCAAGGGGCCAACAGTACTGAATGGTTAAATAAATCATGGTACATACATGTGATAGAATAGTATGCAGCCATTCACAGTTACATCTTCAAAGAATTTTAGTAACATGGAAACACTGTGTTATATTAAATAAGCAAGATGCAGTATTGTATATATTTTATATCAATTATGTTTATATATAAATATACATATAATCATTTATATCTATATATGTTTATCTAGAGAGAGAGGAGAGAGAGCAAGAAGAAAGGAGAAAGGGAGGGAGGAATGAGAGAGAAAGGGAGAAAATCACAGGAAGAAATACCCTAAACTATTAATAGTAATTGTTTGAGCTGTGAGATTGTGAGTGATTTTTGTTTTCTTTTCTAGTATGGTTTTTTTTTAATTTTTACAACTTTTTGTATAACTGGAAATTTGGGAGAATAAGTTAAATTACAACTAAGAGAAGTTCTTATAGTAAAAATGAAAAAAACTGTCCTTAAAAAAATGTACGTGGAAGGTGAATTGTATGGTATGTGAATTATATCTCAATAAAAGCTCCTATGAAAAAACCTATGTAGACATGACAGAAGATAGCATAATGGTGGAAAGAATGAGTCTGAGAACTATCAAGACTTGGTTTTATACACCGTCTCTTACCAGCTACGTGACCTGGGGCAAATTGTAGAAGTAATCTCTCTGACTTGCAGTATTCTCGTCTGTAAATAGGAAATGTTTGTTGGGAGTTTTAAATGAAACTAAATGAGATAATTTGTTAATCACTTGTCAAGTCTTTTGCACTTAAAAAGCCCTCAGTATTGGGTAGCTTTTACCAACATTAGCTTCTAGAATCTAATTACACTCATATGCAAATACTTATAAAATAAATTTTAAAAGTTGACCAAATATGAAATTAGCCATGGCTTAAAATATAAGTGTCTCTTAACTCTAGTCTTTTTTTTTCCTTGAAACCCGAAGCTGGTCATCAATGCTGCCTTGGGATTTGACACATTTGTTGTCATGAGACACGGCCTGAAGAAACCTAAGCAGCAGGGAGCTGGGGACTTGTGTCCCAGCCACGCTGTGGCACCTGCGGACCTCCTGGGCTCGTCGCTTTTTGCCAACATCCCCGGCTACAAACTTGGCTGCTATTTCTGCAATGACGTGGTGGCCCCAGGAGATGTAAGTGAATTTCTTTGTGGTTCCAAGTATTTCCTATAACCGTCTTGCCCACTAGGGCAGAGAGACCCAGCTCTGTCCTTTATGGCTATTTAAGTATTGTCTTTTAACAAAGAGAAGAATTCTCCAATTTGGCAGGTGGCATCCCACTATGAGCCTTGATTGGCGTCATCAACTGTGTCCAGGTACTCCCTGTTCTCCAATATAAATGTAGTGACACGCCATTTTTGTGGAAAGCTCAGCATGGAAACTGCCGGATGGACTGGTCCCTGGCAGCGCTCAGCACTGTATCCTGTGCTGATCTTAGTGAAGAGAGCGTTAAATGAGGAGTCTGAAGACCTAGACTGCAGTGCGGGCTTGGACACTGCCTTATGGGGTAACTCCAGATGAGTCTCTTAGGCTCCTTGTGCTTCCGCAAAATGGAGCCGGGGCCATAGGGTTGTCAGATTTAGCAAGTAAAGATACAGGATTCCCAGTTAAGTTTGAATTTCAGGTAAATAATGAATAATTTTTTTAGTGTAAGTATGTCCCATACAATATTCAAGACCTGCTTATACTAAGAAAGTATTTGTTGTTTATCTAAAATTCAGATTTAACTGGGCATCTTGTATTTTATCTGCTAACCCCAGTAGGGGAGGGAAGAATACTTTCCCTGGCAACTCACAGTACGAGGTGGATCAAACATACAAGTGCCCTGAACAGCAAGCACTGCACTGTTCAAATGTAAGTTTCTATAGCGTTAATGCCACCACGCAAGGCAGAGTCTGTGAGAATGGCCTGTTCTCAGAACAGATACTCATTTCTAGTGAAGCAAAGCAGAGGTGTTTTCTCTACCCTCCTCTCCATTTTCCCCTTTTAAAACTTGTTCCTTAATAACTCATACCTCTTTGGAATGACTGGCTTTTATGTCCTCCCAGTATAAAGAAAAAAAAGATAAATGTTATCTTATGTGAAAAGGATGGCTTTATGGTCTCCATCATGGTGTCATAATATGCAGCTGGTCCTGTTACTTCATTATTACCAATAAATAGGATTAAGGGTCATTTGCAGTAAAGTCACATCTGTTTATAAAGCAAGATTTTCAGTCAAAATTATTTCCAACAACCCCTTAATGTGCCTAGAGTTGGAAGATTAGAATTTTCTTTGGTTAAACTAATGAAGACTTGTGTTTGGAGCCATGTTGTAGCAAAAATGCTTGTATTTAGGCCCTGGGGTCACCCTCAGGGTAACAAGATGTGAGAGGCACATGGGAACACACTGTGAGAGGCACATGGGAACTGAGGACTGCAGGAATAGCAAATCCTTGCTCCCATCTCACAGGCACTCTGAGGCATTAGCTCCATTAGCATGGCAGGGCAGAATCATCTGCACTATTCAAATAGTTATACCTCTCTGTGTCTCTGTCTCTTAACTACCAGGCACAATAGAGTTGAATTGAGTCAGTTAGAAGAGCACATGATGCATCTCCACTGTATGAGGCAGCTAGGCCCTTGTTTTGGTTGATATCCCTCTGTCTTTAATTTTTTTATAACTGCTCATCTGTTTTAGTATATTACCTCATTTAGTTACCTAAGTTGTATATTTTTGGGTTTTTTGGTACTTGCAAGAAATGATATTATTTGAAGCTGAATGTTCTTTGCCAACAGTATCTGGTTATGTTGTATAGCTTTATTGTGGAGAAGTTTCATGCTTCAGACAGCTAGAGTTGAGTGGAATAGAACTTTGAGCACACATCAATGATTGTTTTTCTGTAGTCAACCAGAGACCGGACCTTGGACCAGCAGTGCACTGTGAGTCGTCCAGGATTGGCCATGATTGCGGGAGCCCTGGCAGTGGAATTGATGGTTTCTGTTTTGCAGCATCCAGAAGGGTGAGTTTGCTGTTTAGAGATGGATGTTTAAACAAAGAAAGCTTTTGTGTCTCCCTTGGCCTTTTTTCAGTGAAACTCTTCTGAGAATTGTGTTGCTTTTTATATCCTCAAAAAAAAAAACAACACTAAAAAACCTGGTCTGATTCTTTGGCCTGGAAGAACTTGTTATGCGATCTTTGGGACTACATCTCTGCATCCTTCAGGAATTGAACTCTCCTAGAGTTATTTGGTAACTAATGATAAGGAAGAATAAAAATTTTGGTAGGGGCCTTAGGACCTTCATGCTTTTATTCTATTAGTAGGTTTCGATCTCCTTAGCCCTGAACATTTGTAAGGAAATACATGAATCACCCGTGATAGCAATTGCATTTGGCTGTATGTAACAGATCCATTTTCAGTGTCTTAGCCAAATGTGGGTTTATTTTTCTTATTCAGCAACAAGCTCAGAGGCATGCAATCCAGGCTAGTATGAGGCTCTCTTATGCCATCAGGGACTCAAGTTCCTTCTTATCATTCACTCGGCCACTCTTAGCTTTCTTCCTTATGCTTGTCACCTTGTGGTCACAAGATGACTGCTCTACCTCCAGTATCGCCTCTGTGTTACAGTTAAGAAGAACAGACAGATCAAAGGATAAAAGTGGTGCTCAGTGTAGTCTTCCCCTCTTTTATAGAGCTTTGCTGGAAGACTCACCCATTGATTCTAATTCCTGTATCACATGGCCACGCTTAGCTTTGAGGAAGACTGACAAATGTAGTTGTTTTTGCTGGGTGTATTGCCTCTCTGAATAAAACTGTGATAAGAAAGAAGTGGAGAATGGATGTTGGGAAGGCAACCAGCAGTGTCTGCACACTCATTTTTAAAACTGCTGTATGTGTTTTAAACCCTACAAGGTATTATTCTTGTTATATAGTTAGTATTCATTTAGTTTTGCTAGCGTTTTCCTTTTTTGTTACTTTTTATTTCTTTTGCTATCTTCAAGCTTCCAGCCAAGGGCATTTTCCTACTGCCTGAAGAATACTCTTTATTATTTCTTTTAGAAATGCTAGTGACAAAGATATTTCAGTTTTTGTTTGTCTGAAAGTGTCTTTGTTTTATCTTCATGTTTGAAAGATCTTTTCTCTGGGTATAGAATTCTAGATTGGTGGTAATTTTCTTTCAACACACTGAGAGTATAATCCTGTTGTCTCTGGTTGCCTTTATCTTTGCTGAGGAGTTAGGTGTTTATCTCATTGTTGTTCCTTTGTTACAATTTGTTTTTCTTCCTCTTGCCCTCCCCCCAAGTTGCTTTTAAGATTTTCTCATTGCCACTGGTTTTCAGAAGTTGTACTGTGATATACCTACTATTTACTCCGATAGTGTTTTCTAGTGTTTCTTGAATCCATGTCTTGATGTTTTTCATCTGTTGTGAAAAATTCTCAGCCATTATCTGTTAAAATATTGCTTCTGCTCCTTTCTCTCTTGCTTCTTTCCTTTGAGACTTCAATTGCATGTCAGTTAGAATGTGCTATTTTCTGTATTTTCCATCATTTTGTCTTTTCTTCTTTTGGTCTGGGTATTTGCTTTTGGCTTTTCTTCCAGTTTAATAATTCTCTCTTTTTTCTTGTCTAATATGTATTAAAACCATTCATTGAGTTTTCAATTTCATTATTAAATGTTTCAGTTCTTGAATTTCCATTTGACCTTACTTTACACATTTCCTGTTCTCTGCTGAAATTGTGATTTTGGTCTTTCTCATTCCTTCAAAACTTTTAATCATGTTTTCTTTTTAAGTCCTTATTAGATATCTCTATTGTCTGGATCTCCTATGAGTCTTTCCCTATGTGTCTATTGTTTTTCTTGGTTTTGGGTTATGTATTATCTCCTCATATACCTGGTGTTTTGGGGTTTTTTTTGAACAAAACCTTTTTATTATGAAAATTCAAACATATATGAAACAAGACATATGTAAATAAAGTAATAAACCCGCTTGTATACACCACCCAGCTCCAACAATTACCAACACATGGGCAATCGTCATTTCCTTATATAGGCATACCTTGGAGATATTGCGGGTTTTGTTCCAGACCCACTGCAATAAAGCGAATGTCACAATAAAGTGAATGTTGCAAAAAAGCAAGTCACACAAATTTTTTGGTTGCCCAGTACATATAAAAGTTATGTTTACACTGTACCATAGTCTATTAATTGTGCAATATCATTATGTCTAAAAAAACAATGTACATACCATAATTAAAAAATACTTTATTGCTAAAAAATGCTACCCATTATCTGAGCCTTCGGTGATTCTTAATTTTTTTGTTTGTGGAAGGTCTTGTAAAAAACACAATATCTGCAAAGCATGGTAAAGTGAAGCACAATAAAACAAGATGTGCCTGTGCTGCTATCCACGTTTTTTTCCCCACTGGCTTATTTTAAAGCAATCCAAGGGGCCAGCCCGGTGGCGCAGCAGTTAAGTGGGCGTGCTCCACTTCAGTGGCCCAGGGTTCGCAGGTTCGGAACCCCGGGCGCGCACCAACGCACCACTTGTCAAGCCATGCTGTGGTGGCGTCCCATATAAAGTAGAGGAAGATGGGCACGGATGTTAGCCCAGGGCCAATCTTCCTCGGCAAAAAAAGAGGAGGATTGGCATCGGATGTTAGCTCAGGGCTAATCTTCCTCACAAAAATAAATAAATAAATAAAGCAATCCAAGACATAGCATTTCATTCATAAAGGTGTATCTTTTTAGTATATATCTTTACTATTTTCACATATAAAAACAAATTAAAGGCAATTTCTTAATGTCATCACATATCCAATCAGTATTTAAATTACTTCAATTCCTTGAATCTGCTTGGTTATTTTTCATTGAGCATTGGACATTATATATGAAAAATTACAGAGATGATGTGATTTACATTTTCTTCTGGCAAACTGCTAGGTCAAGTGGACTAGCAGTCCTGGAACAAATAAATTCAATTAGCGCTTATCCATTTCTGGTTCACCCTTGCTCTGAGTACGTAGCTCCGCAATGGTTCCAGCCCAAAGCCTGGGACGTTTTCCATGGTTCCTCTTGATTGGCAGACTTCAAACTCTTGTTTTTCTCTCCAGCGCTGTGAGTCTCTCCGTATCACTATTCAGCTTCTGATCCTATGCTCACTGCTTTCAGAGGTTGGCAATCACTTTATGGAGGAAAGCTCCCCTTGCAAATTACCTCTCCGGGTGGCTTCTCTCCTCTCACAGATCTTGGCTCTGCAATTCTTCCCTAACTTGGTAGCTCTCTGATGCTTCCAAACAAAAGTTTTTGTACTTTGTCTAGCTTTTCTGTCTGTTCTCAGGGAGAGGGTTGGTCCTGACCAGCTAGTCCACCAATGCCACATCAGTTTTAAAAATCTCTTTAATTTATTAAGCACTTATGGTGTCCTAGGCTTGCATGTGAGAGTAAAGAAATGAGTGGGCTGGTGTGTTTTGTTTCAACTTGACCTTGAGCCTTTTAGTAGTCTGTGTGTTTAACACCTTGTATATACGTTATATTAAAGATACATAAGTTAGCACAATTGTGATCTGGACGCCCTATCTTTATGACTTATAAACAATAGAATTAGTTCATCTTATAATAAATAGAAGTGAGACAAAATTAAATTAATTTAAAAAATAAAGTCAGTAATTTAAAATAAGAAAGAAGGAAGGAAGAGAAGAGAAAAAGAGAGAAAAGAGAATGAAGAAAAGAGAAAAGAAAAAGAAAATGATTAAACAGTTTAAGAGTCTCTTACTATCTGCCCGAGTCTATGCTGTCAAATGTCAGATGGTGAAGACAGACTGAAGTCAAACAGGTATTTACACCTGACTATATGACAGATACACTGTAATTTATTTTATTTCTCAAACGCTTACTCTGTGCTAGGCACTGTTGTAAGCACTTTATAAATAGTAACTCATTTAATCCTCAGAGCAAACCTATTAGGAAAGAACTATTATTAGTCCCAATTTTGGTGGGGAAATTGAGGCAGAGAGGATAAGTAAGTTGCTGAAATTCACATAGCTGGTAAAGCTGGGATTTAGCTCAGTCAATTTGGCTCCAAACTCTGTTTTTAATCACCTGCTATGCTGTTTGTGATATAGGCAGGGGAGAATTGAATTTTCGAAAGATGTCTTTTTCCAATTCTCAGAAATTAACATGAATATTCTATTTATTGTGCAACTCAGAGCTTTTCTATGCAGTTGAAAAGACAGGCTCAGTACAATGTTGGTAGCATTTGTAACTAGTCTAGATACTCCAGAGTTAAATGAAAATAAGCAACTTTTTGTGTCTTCCTCTCATCTCTGTCGCCCCCTTGGCTGTCCCTGCCGTCTAAGTGTATGTGGCCTCCTGACAGGATGTATTTGGGATAAAATCCTAGAGAGCTGATCCTACAGTTGCCTGACACTGACCCCTCTGTCTGCCACATTTGCCTTGGTCATAGGTTAAAACTAAGTCCTGAGTCACATCTCCTCTGTGACGTAAGTAAACATCACATCATTGTTTGGGAAGGAGTGCGTTCCTTCTCCTACCCAATTAATTCCTCACTTTTCTTTCCCCTTCCTCCATTTTGGTAGCATTTACATCACCTCAGAAGTTAAGGTTGGAAAGTTTTTTTTTTTTTTTGTGAGGAAGATCGGCCCTGAGCTAACATCTGCCAATCCTCCTCTTTTTTTTTTTTGCTGAGGAAGACTGCTCTGGGATAACATCCATGACCATCTTCCTCTACTTTATATGGGATGCCGCCACAGCATGGCTTGACAGGCAGTGCATCGGTGCGTGCCCGGGATCCGAACCCGTGAACCCCGGGCCGCCGCATCAAAGCGCAAGCGCTTAACGGCTTGCGCCACCAGACCGGCCCCGGTTGGAAAGTTTTCCATTTCAAAATTTCAATACAAAAATGTGCTGTGATGTTTAACAAGACCATCTCAGAGTAAGGGAATTAATATTTATTGGTTTATCACATGCCAGACATTGCACTTGGCAATTTATCTACCTTATTCCTAATTTATTCCTCACAACCATCTTATTCCTACTTTATAGATGACGGGCCTGAAGCACAGGAGGTTAAACGGCTTGCTTATGGTCACAAGCTCTGGTCTTTCTGACTCCAAAGTGCAGGCATTTTTTTAGTACTCTTCTGCCTTCCCTGCCAGCGAAATTAGCTTTTCACTAGCTTATGCTGCCTAGCAAGGGGCATTTTGGTTAACCTTATACATCTTACATGGATCTCCTCCAGATCATCCTCACAGATGTTAAACATAAACTTTTATGAAATGAGAAGTTCTAATTGTTTCCTTTTCCCAGGGGCTACGCCATTGCCAGCAGCAGTGACGACCGCATGAATGAGCCTCCAACCTCTCTTGGGCTTGTGCCTCACCAGGTTAGTGATTTGGAAATGAAATCACAGTTCTGGACCAGATCCCAGTGGTGCAAGGGGAAAGCATTTGGGGTCACTTTACCATGCTATCAGCCCAGCCCACCTCTTTTCCAACCTACTTATCCTCCAGCTACTCTGGAATTTCAGTGGGAGTGCTTTATGACCACCTGGGAGGTATCCCATTCTGCGGAGTGGTGATGAGAGGAAATCGTGAACAAGCAGCATTACCCATAGTCTTGACGTGTTTAGCATGTTGACTAGAGGTCTCATAATGGAGGAGAAAAAGAAAGAATGGGATTTGGAATCAGCCAGACAGCGGTTTAAATCCCAGCCCTGCAGTTAGTAAGATGGCTTTCCTTGGCCAAGTCACTATACTTCTCTGAGCCTAGTTTTCTTATCTGTAAAATGGAGACAGTAATATCGACCTCATCTGGTAGTTGCAGAGATTAGAGATGATATATAGAAAGAGCTCAGCAACAGTGACAGATATGTCATAGGCTCTCAATAAATGATGCCTGCTATGTTTGTTGCTGTCATTTGTTGTTATTATTGACTCCCTAGCCAAATACAAAGCCTTTATAGGCATGCATGGGAAAACCATTAGAAAGCAGGTGCTCTACCTTGTGTCCAACATTATGTCTGTGACGAGGCTTTATAAACCATAAAACACCGTGCAAATGTGACTTTTCCAGCCTACCTCACACAAGGTGGCGTTTATTTGACACGAATGTGTTCATCTTTTCTGCAGAAATATTTCAAGTAGGACCCAACAGACACTGTAATAACCCTCCATCGTCGGAAGTTGTCCTCCAGAGGCGACCTCTGCTGTTTACACTCTCGTATCTCATGCGAATCCCTCCCCTCTCCCGTCTTCCTGCCTTCCTCCCTTTCTTCTGACCTTGAGATGCGCCTTCAGCGTCTTTACAGATCTCATACTGAGAAGGGCCTTAATTAAATTTTCAGTCACGCCCCTGCACTGGTTTCCTTCTTTAAGTCCTTTATGTTAAATCACCACAGCTGTAGTTTTCTCAGTGCTGAGGCCAGAGGGCAAAACAGTCTCTTTACAGAAGGGGTCCAGTGTCAAAATGCATGTGCCCGTGTTTTTAAAGTACTATGGCAACTAATCCCTCTCAGCATTATTTGCCCCACTGAGCCTTGCAATTATTTGTCATTCACCAACTCTTCTAGTTCTTTCTCCTCGTTTTCAAATGTCTGAAGGATTATTTTGGTTGTTGGCCATCTCTTCATTTGGTCTTTTCAAAGGCTGAAGAATAACGCAGCCATATATGGGAAAAGCCCAGTGCGTGTGTGTGATTACTTGCTTACGTTATTTCACGTTTCAAGCCTTTATTTTTAGCTACTTTCTAAAAAAGAAAGTGGAGAAAGAACTTTAAAATTAATCAGAGGTGTGTAGTCCCTATTTATAGGCTTTAAATTTCTTCTTCTTTTTTAAGTGGAGTGAGTCCATTTATGCAACTGTGTTTTGATTAGGAGAACAGTGTCTCCACAAAAACCCTGGGCTGTGTTGTAATGCGTTGGTGCAGACTCAGCACTTCCCTCCTCCTCTTCCTGGCTCTCCGAGATGAATGATTTCCTGTTGGAGAGGAACTTGGTAAACCCCTTTGTGTGCTTTTGTATACAAAGAACGACCAATGATGTTCCCGGGGTTCATTTTTCTCAGTTCCCCAAAGGAGAGTGTTTATTAATTGGCCCCTGTGGAATGAGATGTAGTAGAAAAGTGATAGTCCTTGGACCAGAATCACAAGGCCCCCCACCAGCAACTAACTCATTGTGTACTCTGGAGAAAGTTGCTAAACTTAGCCGGTGCTCTCTGTGTCTCTGCTCTCCTCGTCAGACCCGGGAGGCCTGAGGATTACTTAGTTGATCTCTCCATGAGACCACGGGTAGAATTTGGCCCATCCAGAGATCGGCCAAGTGCAGAAAAAGGCTTGATTAGGCCCTGAAATTCAGTGATATTCAGCCTGAAAAAAACCTCTTATTGAATTTGAAAACTGTGAAAAAACCATTTGAAGGTGAGAAAATAGGCTTATGGGTCTGTTCTTTTTTAAAGTCTCTGGCCCAGTGTATATGGATGGGATTCTGCAAGCAGGCAGCAATAAGTGTACGCCACTTTCTGTCTATAAAGAGAGTGATTTTTTTATTTAAGTCATCATTTTATTGATGTATAAAAGACATAGAGATAATCACACAGATCTTTAAGTACACAACTTGAATTATCACAAAATGAACACTCACGTACTCAGCAGACAGATCAAAATAAAATGTTATCGAGCATCTCCAAAGTCCTCATCATGCTTCTCCAAATTATTATCGCCTCCTTCCTACACAGAGGCAAGCATCTCTTGACTCTCAGCACCATGGGCGATTTTTGTCTAATTTTGAACCTTCTGTAAATGAAATCATATAGTATATACTCTTTGGAGTCCGGCTTCTTGTGAAGAGAGAACTTTTTCATCGTAAATCTTAGCATGGTATTGTTCCCTCTGCTTCCCATCAAGTGAGATCTTTTATTTTATTTTATTTTTTAAAGTTGTCTTTTCCTGGCTCCTGGGGTGGTGGCTGAGTTCTGTGAGGCCACACCCTTTTTCTGGTTCTTTGGTAGAAGGCACAGTTCAAGAGTTATAAAATGTACAGGCCACTCCTGATATTATCCAGGCAGTTGGTTTGTAGGCAAGTGAGAGATCCTGAATGTGACAGAAATTAGCGGCCTCTGGAGTTGCTGATTATTTGGCTGGACATCCTTAAAGAACGAAAAGCAAGGTGACAATACAGCAGTCGTCCAGACACCACGGTCATTCGTGGAGCAGGCCTGCTTTTGTCCCACTCATGGGCCAGGCAGTTCACATGCTTTTCTAGGGGTGAATGTACGCTTGGTTCTCAACTACTGTGAATAAAGACCCTGAGTGTGTATTCCTTTCCTAGGGGTTTGGACTTGCCAGCCCCATGGGTCTCTCACGCTCTTAAATTCTTTCTTTCAGTTGCTTTCAGAAAAGGAGAAAAAAACCTGAACTAGGGCAGAACCCTGGGAGGGACCTGGCCTGGGAAATCTCTGAGACAAATGCTGAGATGCAGTTAGGGTCTCAAGACATGCCTTGGACTGCTGTTTATTTGGCCTGTCTGCACAGGCTATGCCCCACAAATCTTCAGGCCTTTATTTTTTAATAAGGTCTCTTTAGTGTGCTCGGAAATGCTTGTCTCAGTGTGCCTCTAGGGATATGGATGGACTGACTCCTGAGGAAGGGGGTTAAGAAGATAGGCAATACGAGCATATTTCCTGAAAGGTAGCCCAAGAAAAGGAATCTCCTTCCCCTTCTGGTTCTATACCCCTTAGGTTGATGTCAGTAGGAGTGGCAGGAAAAATGGACAGTCCAAGTGTCTGCTCTTTCATCATGTTGGCTGTTGTGATTTGTGACCTAGTTATCCTCCTTCCTTCCTTCCAACCATCGCTTCAGCTGATGATTCCCAACACTGTCTCTGTGCCAAGCACTGTTAGGTTCAGAGAAGTTAAGTAACTGGCACAAGATCACCCAGTGTTTAGTTCCGTTTGCTTTTGGAGTCATCCAAGGTGGTAAATGTACCCCAAGCCATTTGGATGTGGTGGAATCTGTTCCCGTGGGGAGGCCCCTGAATAGAAGGAGGGATCTGCATACAAGATGTGACAATGTCTGGGCTTCCTGTGTGAGGTCCTAGAAGAAGAGAGGGGGGTTTCATTTCCTTGGTACACAAAGGAGAGGATCAATTATAGATAGAGTTCAGAATCATCTCAGATAGCATCTCTTGTCCCAAGAGGACTTGGGCATGACTATCAGTTGAAGGATGTTACTTGTGCCCCTCGAGTTTTGCTCACCTAATGAGGCTGTCCTCGTTTGAGAGGCAGCCTGGGGGCTTTGTGATCTTACAGGTCTGATTAGAATCCCAGCTTTGCCTCTTAATTTCATATTCATCCATTCATTACCTCATTTTGCAAAAGAATTTGAGGCAGCTCTTGCCACTTGTCAGTGTGTGACCTTGGGCAGGTTACTGATATTCTGTGAACCTCATGTTTTATACCTATAAAATGGGGATAATTATATAATAAAGTCCTGGAATTCACGTGTGGAATAAATTACATTTACTAAACACTAGCACTGTTCTGGGCACATAAGAGACACTTGTAAATGTTAGTTTTTTCTTTCTCTTTCAGTTAAAATGGAGCTTATACTGCTCTCCTAAAAAGAGAGTTACAAAGAATCTCATAAAACTCTGGAAGCAATGAGTGAGTAGGGAAGGGTTGGAAGGATTGGCTCCATTCTTAAGTATTTTCTAAGGATGACGCTGGCGAATTTTCCACTTCGTTCTTCTGCCCCTTGGTGACTCCCGTTTGATAATGACAGGTGGATTGGTGGTGGCAGCTGAGGCTGTTGTCTGAAACGGAGACCACTGTGGGCATGCCTGGGCTTTTGCAATTGGTAAACTCTCTACTTTGGCATTGAATTTGGTTAAGACTCTTTCCAACATCCAAGAGCAATCTGATGTTTGGAGTTAGTTTTTATTTATGCAAACTCCACGCTCTAGAAATATTGCCAGGCCTGCTGGAAACTGGTGTGAAGTTAAAGCAGCAGGTTTCAGTGGTGGTTGCGACTCTGCCTTCTCAGAATGGCTGTTTGTTTCTGGGCATTGGATCTTCGCTTCCCACTGAGGCAAGAGAGGCTTGGGGCTCATGCTGATTTTACTTAGGTATAAACACTGCCAGGGGTGGCCCAGAAAGGAAGGACTCCTTTGTGTTCCTGATCTATTTGTTTTGTAGCCAGTGGGGAATAGTTGACTGAAGATAATTGAATCTACTGAGGCCCTGATAGCAGTCATCTGTATATGGAGTTTTTGTTTTTAGGGGGGTGGCTTTTTAAAATTCCTTTGGTCTTCTCTCTCTTTCCTCCTTTCTTTTTACCTCCTCCTTGCCTTGCAGCTTTCTTCCCTTTTCTGGCGTTGGAGCCAGAAAGAAC